TGCCAATTTGGCTGTTTGAAAGGAACGTCGACCACCTATTGCCTCCTTGATATGCTCCACTCTTGGCTCTCCCATTTGGACTCGGACTCCAACGGTAAACACATTCGTATTAGCTTCTTAGATTTCTCGAAGGCCTTCGACCGCATTGGATACAATATTCTCATTGAAAAACTGCTAGACCTGGGCGTTAGGCGGTCTTTAATACCCTGGATTATAAACTTTCTTTGTGGTCGAAGACAACGAGTTAAAATTGGAGAATCCTTTTCAAGCTGGCTCCCAGTGACAGCCGGGGTCCCTCAAGGGACTAAACCTGGTCCAATATTGTTCCTCATTATGATTAATGATTTGAGAGTAAATTCCCCAGGCACGAAAATGTGGAAATTTGTAGACGATGTCTCATCTTCTGAAAATCTTACATCGAACAGCTTCTCGGTCACTCAGGCAACTCTTGATTCTATTGATTCATGGCCAACTTACAATTGTATGAAATTGAATGCCAAAAAGTGCAAAGAGCTCCGGGTTTCCTTTCTTAAAGAAACCCCGCAGCTACCATCTTTGACAATTGATGGTCACGTGGTAGAAACGGTACAATCGCACAAAGTGTTGGGTTTAATTATTCAAAACAATCTTAAATGGGACGAGCAAATTCGATCAATCGTCACCAAGGCCTCCAAACGGTTATACGGTCTTCGGGTATTATGCCGCGGTGGTGTCCCTCCTGCTGATCTTACCAACATATACTTCGCGCTTATTCGTTCTATTCTGGAATACTGTTGTGAGGTATGGAATTACGCGATACCTCGCTATCTGTCTGACGAACTGAAAAGAGTACAAAAGCGTGCCATGCGCATTATCTTTCCTGGCCACTCATACGACGAAGCTCTCCAATTGGCTAATTGCACAAGACTTAGCGACAGGCGAAACGAAACCTATATAAATACCTTACAGAAGATTGCTAAACGAGCAGGTCCCCTTGTTGAACACGTGACACAATCCAGAGCTTGTGCTCAACAATATTATATTAGAAACTTAAATAATCTGTCATTGTATAGATGCAGAACTGAACGCTTTAAAAACAGTTTCTTTCCAAGAGCAATTGTTGAACTGAATGCCATGATATAGAGAAAGGAACCTACCTTAGATTAAATGATTAAATTTTAACAATATTCTTAACTTACTATTCGATCTTAACTTATATATTAATAATATTCGTAACCTATTTTACCTTAAATTTTATGACCGTGTAAATAACTATAAACTAAATTTGACTTTGAATGTAAACACATTGTAATTCTTTGTTTATGCGAAAATGTGTAATTAAACACCAAATAATAATAATAATAAATTTGGCCCCCAATAAAAAAATATAGTTTACTTCATCTTTAGGCTCGGAAATCGTGAAGCTTCTACTAAAACCATATTTCTAGAAATTTTTCTCAGCATTTATAGTTGTGTCAAAATTCTCCATTGAATTGCAATACTGAATTAGGTCAAGAGCTAAAGTTTAGCGTACTTTTCGCATTTGGTTTTGACCAGTTTTGTAGAAGACAACGTTAATAAATAATGGCTGTATCATTAAGTTATAGAAATGAAACGATTTTTATAATACTTAAAATGATACGATTTTGATACGGAATGTTTTGTTAGTCATTCAAACCTTTGTACTTTTGTTTGTGCGGAATGTTTTTGTGAGCCATGTAGCATGCAGTCTACTTTTGTTTTTCAGGAATGCTTCTGTAATGCATCCCAACCATGAGCGATTATATATACTGTGTATATGTAAATAAAATGCATAGGAAAAGGGTTTTTTACGAAATAACGACTCATTTCCACTTAAAAGTCTACTTTTATTCTAATGCTAATTTAATACTCCCTGTTATTTATTAGACGCATGCATATTAAAATATTCGCCAAAGCATGATGTCATCGTTTGCTAAAGTGCGTGGTTGTTATTCTGACTAATTTTATACTATGTGCCTTCCTATCTCTAAGAAATTCCTATCTCTAAAACTCGTTTTATGTCCTTAGCAGCTAAGCCATTAACGTTGTCCCCCACAGATACCCATGTGTGATGTGTCTGGCATGACTGCACTAGCACATTATTTTTGTTACGCTTTCCTTCAAACTTTTTGCTCTTGGCCGCAATGAAGAATTTCAACACAAATAAATTATACAAACTAACTATAAATACTGACAAACACTTTTAGGATCTTGGTTTCAGAAGAAGCTTCACGATTTCCGAGCTTATAGCGATAAAGTAAACTATGTTTTCGAGGGGGCCAAATTTCCGAAGGGGGGGGGGGTAATTTCCTGGGACACCGGACCACGAAATGGCCTTTGCTCGAAACGTCCGCGCTCTGCTTATATCTCTCAGGTAGTTGTATATCCTTCACACAGCAGTAATATATATATATACAAAACAAGTAATTGAATGGTTTGGAAATATAAAAGACAAAGAAAGACATAGTTTTATTTCGTTTGATATCGTTGATTTTTACCCATCCATTTCGGAAAAGCTTTTGGACCAAGCATTATCTTGGGCTTCTAATTTAACTACCATTTCGGATAATGATATTTTGATCATAAAACACGCCAGAAAATCTCTGCTTTTCAACACCGGAAAACCATGGACTAAAAAAGATAGTGAAGGTTTGTTTGACGTTACAATGGGCAGCCACGATGGCGCCGAAATATGTGAATTAGTTGGCCTTTTCATCCTAAATCACCTAAGTAAGAAGTTTGGCAAAGAAAGCATCGGCCTATATAGAGACGACGGTTTGGCCCTTATAAAAAGTAAATCGGCACGTTTAGCAGACAAAACAAGGAAAGAACTCCACAAAATTTTCGAGCAGTTTGACCTAAAAATCACCGCCGAATCAAATTTACGCATAGTAAACTTTTTAGATGTAACTTTCAATCTTAACAACGGAAAATATAGGCCCTATAGAAAGCCCAATGACGATCCGCTATACATACATAGGTACTCTAACCATCCACCTAGCATTATAAGGCAGCTTCCTACATCAGTTAACAAGCGCATTGCAATGCTTTCATCAGATGAGCAAACATTTATGGAATCTGCACCTGCATACCAAAACGCACTTGACCATAGCAACTTTAATCATGATCTTAACTACACTCAACACGCACCACAACAAGCACGCAGAAATAGGCAACGTAATGTCATTTGGTTCAACCCACCATTTAGCATGAATGTCAGCACAAATATAGGGCCTAATTTTCTCAACCTTATCGACAAGCACTTTCCTTCGCACCACAAGCTGCATAAGATCTTTAACAGAAATACAGTAAAAGTAAGTTATAGCTGCATGAGCAATGTTAAGTCTATAATCACTAAGCACAATGCACATATAGCTAGGAAGAACAAGGCACAGGGCAAGGGCACTGTCAATTGCAGTTGTTCGAAAAACGCAATTTGCCCACTTCAGAAACAATGCATGACTAAGGACATAGTATACAAAGCAACAGTTACAACAAGCAACCCTAACACGATCATGAATTATATTGGCATGACATCAACTACATTTAAAGAGCGTTTGGCTAACCATAACTATACTTTCGAGCATAAAGAGCACCCAAACAAAACTGAACTTTCGAAATATATTTGGACATTGAAAGATAGCAAGAAAGATTTTAATATCAATTGGCAAATTTTGAAACGCGCTATTTCGTATACGGGGGGATCGGAACGATGTAATTTGTGTTTGGAGGAAAAATTTTGTATTTTGAAAGAAAACCAAAACCGTTTACTCAATAAAAGAATGGAAATTATATCTACGTGCAGACATAGGAAGAAATTTCGCGTAAACAACGCAAACAATACACTCCCACAATTCGATTAGGCATTTCCGCGTAAACAACGCAAACAATAGATGAATGCATGCTTTGTTTCACCCACACACCCCCACGTTCCGGCCAAAACACATATAAGCAGCCCTATTTTTCGAAACTTGTCATACCGCCTGATGATTCTTTACTGATGAAACAGACTGTTGCGGAATTTTGAGGTAAGCGAAATTCTACATTTGCTCTATCTTTATGATATTGAGCACTCTTTGCGTTTCGTATACACAAACCTACTCGTATATATATATATATATATATATATATATATATATATATATATATATATATATATATATATATATATATATATATATATATATATATATATATATATATATATATATATATAGCCCCACATAAAGCTGACAATATCCTGTAAGTATTTACACCATAATCTGCCAAAACTAAACTTTGACTATTGACATGCAAGATTGAAGCTGTTTTTAATTGTACATAGCGTATTGTAAACAATAAAACCACATTTACAACTTCATTGTTGGTCATTGGCAGGTACCGATTAATCGGCAGGTACCGATTAATCGGCAGGTACCGATTAATCGGCAGGTAGCCAGGTACCGATTAATTGGCAGGTACCTAATCGGCAGGTACCGATTAATTGGCCGATTAGTTATGATAATCGGCTTACAAATAATCGGCCTCAGTAATCGGCAATTTTCCTTATCGGCTCTTCCCTAATCTCCTTGGTAATAAAGGTTCTTAATCCACTCGCAGCTACACTCAATGCTGTGACCTAAACGGGCAAGGAATAAATGGGACTCGAAGAACCATGCAAGATACCTTCCCAAACTTTACTAAAACTATTTTAAATAACATTACACACACAACTATACGCACACCTAGTACACTACAGTTTATGTCCTATGGCACAAACAGTCACGAAACAAGGACCATGTACATGACAAGTCAACATCATAAATAGAATCAACAACACTAGAGTATCTACATTTAACTAAACATTTAAAATAGGACTAGGACTAAACACAGTGTCCAAACATGCATACATCTTTACATACAATGTTCCACACTTTGATGACACGGTTATAGTACGAAGATTGAAAAGTGCTTGCATGTTCTACAAATTGGACTTTGTAGAATGTACTTTGAGGTGTTACTCAGCCGAGTTAAACCATGACTGACAAACGAGACATAGTTACTGACATCAACATTCACATAACCAAACAAAGCCTTGTACAGAAACACCATTGCCAAAGTAATTTCTTAGGGGTTAAGCCTGTCGTCATCTCTAGATCTCTGCAATTTTTTGAGGGGTAAGGGGGAAATTGGGTCGTTCCAGAAAAGATCTATACCCCTCCCCTCACGGAGGAAATTTTTGCTGTCCGAAGGGGGAGGGAGGAAAAATGTCTTAGGATGTGGGGGGAGAGGAATGTGGATATGTTTGTCTGAAGGTTTGAGACTGTGATAAAGCTATGTGATCGGCGATTATAATGAGCATGCAATTTTTATCGGCTATATGTAGCTCTTGAACACCGCAACGTTTATGCAACAGCAATAATTATACGTTCACGTAACTTGTAAGCAAAATAAGCGGCCCACTTTTGCATGCATGGACACCAAAAACTAACTCGCCGTAACAGTGTATCCTGCATGTTGAGAATGAGTCGAAAGTTGACACGCTTTATTTAATATATAAAAGTAAAGTTTTGCAGTTTTCGTTCGTATATATAAGTTTGAATTATTGAAGTGTTAAAAATAATAGTAAGTTATTAAACTGTTGCTCGAATTAAGAGACTGCTATGTGAACTGAACTCAAAACAATTTGTTTTAGTATATAGTCAGTAAAGCTTCCTTGCGAGGTGCGTGTCTAGAAAATAGAAATGGCTTTCATATTAATTAAGGGCGAGGTTAAGGAATGCAGTAATACTAAAAAATGCATTAACATGTAAGTAAACATAACAACGCTTGTCAATCAGTCGCAAGTTACATCGAATTTCAGTCCGAATTTTACTTGGACGAATTTCGAAGTGAATTTCTGCAAATTATCCGACAAAACCTGCCACGTGTTTGTGTTCGCAAGTCACAAGAAGCCGCCAAGTGTTCTGCCACGCCGGAGCTATTTGAAAACAGCGTAAAAAGTCACAATCAGCCATTTTCTGGAATGACCCATTTACAAATTTCTGAGGGGGTCTTGTGTCGGCATGGATATTTTTTCTTAAGGGTTAAAATGTTACTCACCTCATCCATAGGCGTGGGGGGTTGATATAAAATGGACCAGCCATTATGGCTGTGTATCAGGGGTGGACTGGTGAGGTGCAGGGGTGTGCACAATCGCCTGTGGTGTCCAGCACCCCCTTGAAGAAAACTGATATATTCCATATTTGAGTTGTGAAATTCAATACTACTTATTATATTGACACGATTGATTTTCGAATATGCAAAAAAGTACCCTTGAGCTCTGCCGTTTTTGTGTTTAATTTCTGTCGAGCATGCTCTGTTCCAATATTATGTCAAAACATGTCAAAGTTCACATGTATTTTTAGAATGACTGCTAAATTTAGAGAACCAATCGCATACAGTTATTGCTACATGCTGGGCGTGTCCAACTGCACATGCTGTACAATTACGACAATATAAACAATAAGCGAGAAAGTATTCAAGCACCAATAGCACTTTTCATACTATGAGGACAAATTTAAATTTAAAGAATAAATGTAACACTTAGAATGCAGGAAATGGCATTTCAGGTCTTCAAATTTCAAAAATTTTCAGGGGGACAATGCCTTTGGTCCTCCATGGTACTGCATCCCCCTTTGGAAAACCTCCACCCCCTCTACCAAATCAGGCCAGATCTGCCCCTGTCGTGTATGTGTATCCCAGCTTTTTATGTACATAACATACCGGTAGTAGTGATCCATCATCCTCATGACCTACATCAAAACCAATCTTACACTCATCAACAAAACTTTGCAGCGATTTCAACAGTAAACTCCAGATACATTGTGCATTTTCTAATGGTCCTTTACATACAATATTTGACACAAGTTCGTATGTTAACTCAAAAATCTTCATCTTATCTCTTTTATCTCCATCATACGCCGTTGGTCGAGGCATACGAAGCGTTGGAATACAAGTTTTAGTTAATATAGTGTTTAAAGCGTTTCTTATCCATAATTGTTCATTGAATACGAGTTTGGGCGGTTCTGTGTTCGTTGAAAAATCTGGAAGATGCGAGACTATTATGCCCAGTGATTCTAAATAATCACAGTCAATTTGTTGCTGGTCCAGTTTTGATGATAAAAAGCTGATAATATTTTCTTTTCTGTGTTGTATATCATCAGAACGAAACAAATGACCAACAAGCGATTTCCCCGACATGTTGCGATTGTTGCCTCGTGGCGTCGTTGGTGGTGGTGATTAGGCATATTATGGTTGTTACGCTTTTGCGCATGCTCGGAGCGATATTACTTTTCGTCCTTTTTGGCTTCCTTTTCCTGTTTCTGGTGTTCTGTTTCTAGGATTTTTTAGCAACTTCTCCAAACCTATGGATCTGGTAAGTCAATTTACAGTTAAATCTCTGAATAGAGTATAGATATTTACACAGTTGTAAGGTTTGCATATCGCATAAATGACGAGGTTTCGTTAATATAGGGACCGTTCATTATTTATTGGGGGCTGGGGGGACTGCAATTCTGGCAAATCAAATCCTGGAGGGACCTGAAATTGAAGGAAGACACATCTATAACTTTCAAAGACTCATTAATTAAATTTATGAGGGGAAAAACAAAAAGAAATCAGATTTACATTCATCTTTGAATTTCTCCTGTTTAGACAATGTTGATTTTTCAAAATTACCAGGCCAATGAACTTAGTCAACTTACCCATGCATGTAAGGTAATCCAGGAATCCGACTTTTAATAGCTTTGCAATCCGGAATCCAGAATCCAAACATTGGAGGAATCCGGAATCCTTATCCTCAGGGGCCAATTTTCTGGAATCCGGAATCCATGACCAATCTGGAATCCGGAATCCAAGTAGTGGAATCCAGAACCCAAGGAGCGGAATCCAGAATCCAAGGAATGCATAGTTTGATTGCCTTACATGGGGAACTTATCAAATAGATTATTTCTGAAGCTATTCAAAACACTCACCACAGTACATGTTTCATCAGATCTATTAGAAACTCTTTGGTATCACTTCGTGTTATAAATCTGATGAAAGATTGCTGTTGGTGCTTTGAATATTAATACATAATAACTAACTTTCTTTTCTGCTCTTTGTCCCTGCTGTACAAATTTTTATAGTATAGTTGCATGAACACAAACAAAGATGTACATTTATTATAGTGTCAATTGTACATTGTTGCACTGTATATATAAGGGAGTGGTCATTATTTATGGGGGGGGGGGTTGGGAAATTGGGAAAATAAGGATTGAAAACTTTTTTGACCCCCCCCCACCAGACTGAAGGCAAACTTTTTGTGCCTCCCCCTCATGAGAGTAGAAACTTTTCTGACCCCCCCCTCCCCAGTGTGGATTGAAAAATTAACAGCAATGAAACAGGTGTGCGTTGCAGGTAAAGTTAGATATTAGGACAATCTGTTTAATCTAGCTCATGATGTTTTACCCTGGTGAATATGATTCAACCATATATGATTAAAAAATATATATTATGTGTTACTACTTTGCAATGCAACATTTGTCCTACCATAACCCTAACCCATGACCCGTCTTCATACAGCGAAATGATTTGAACACAGGGTTTTTTTAAGAACTTGTCTGGGGGGTAAGCATCTACAAAAAGGGACCATACTATATTGAGTGTGGAAAGATGACAGATGGTTGTTGGTGACAAAAAGTTTGGTGTGGTATCATATGTACTAGTAGGGGGGTCTGGGGGTATTCTCCCCCAGAAATTTTTTTGTGATTCAACCATATATGATTAAAAAATATATATTATGTGTTACTACTTTGCAATGCAACATTTGTCCTACCATAACCCTAACCCATGACCCGTCTTCATACAGCGAAATGATTTGAACACAGGGTTTTTTTAAGAACTTGTCTGGGGGGTGGGCATCTCCAAAAAGGGACCATAATATATTGAGTGTTGAGAGATAACAGATGGTTGTTGGTGACAAAAAGTTTGGTGTGTTATCGTATGTACTAGTAGGGGGGTCTGGGGTCCGTTTTTGTATTTTTCCACCCCTAGAACTGAAATGTGAGCATTTTCTGAAACAGATTTTTGGATATACAGCGTTACATTGTGCGTTGATAGACCGAATCTGATCAGTTAAGTGTACTTACATGGTATGTTTATGTAAATACTACAACTGGGTCACTCAGGGGGTAGAAAGCTTGTTAAACTTAGTGGGCCTGACTCCCACGATCGCGAGGCGCTACCATGGTTGGCGCCGAGCAGGGAAATTTTGAAAATTTTGAGTCTCTAGATCGTTGGAAATAGCATTTTCAGAGTCTTCTTTTTTGCTATTTGTGATTATAGAAATCAGAACTCTAGACATGGTATTTAAGTTCAAAAACTTTTATGACCCCCCCTTTCTCTGTGTTAAAACTTTTTTGACCCCCCCTATTTATAAGGGTCAAACTTCGTTTGCCCCCTCCCATTTCCCAACCCCCCTCCCCATAAATAATGACCA